AAAAAAAAAAAAAAAAAAAAAATGAAGACATGCAGTGAGAGCTGCAGTTAGTAACAGAATATTACACGGCCATAATAAGGATGCATTAGAATTGTACCTGCTGATAAAGAAAAACTCACAATAATTTGAAAGTTTAAAAAATATTGGTTACAAAACAAGCTGTCAACATACTTTTGGTTAAAATCATACAAATACGGAAATGACCTAAAATATATATATAAATAACTGCTCACAGAAACTAAACTTTCAAAAAATTTTTAGCTTAGATTGTCTGATATTTTAATAGTATTTTAGCAATTAAAGAAAAACCTTTATTTTTGGGGACTGAACTCAGGGCCTATGTATGCTGTGCACTCTACCATTGAGCTACAGCCCCAACCCCACCAACTATTTTAAGGTACCGAGTAAAAGCTGTGTACATCTTGGGGTTCTCTGCCTTCTAAAGCTCACATAGCATCTACATAGTTTGTATGGTTGAGCCACTGCTGTTTACATCATCTGAACTTGGAACTGGGCTAACGAATCACATCAGCAACACCAAAGGGAGCAGGAGAGCGGGGGAAAGGCGAGGTACCACTGCTTCACCAGTGAGCCCTGCCAGCCCAAGCCAAGCCTCTGCTCACACTTCAGAACGTCTCTCTGCTTCAGCACTGCTGCCCCTGCAGTGCTCCATCACGGGCATCCTCTATGCACCAACCGACCTGAAAGGCTGCTGCCATTTATGGCTTCTAAATGACCCTGACTTCACTGGCTCTCTCAAACGGTGCCCCCCAGAACCTGTGCGAGGGATGGAATCTACACTTCTCCACTTCTCCTGGGCGCTCAGCAGCTACTCTTCTTCCTATGGCTCCTGTAAACTTGGCCCACCCTGAAGCAGAGTTCATTTCCCCCTTCACACCTGTTCCTCCTCCCACAGTTCCCTCTGCAGTAAGCATGGCACATGTTGCTCCATATAAAACATGGGATTTCTCTTAAGGCCAAATTTTCTCCCCAAATCCAATCTACTATCAGTTCTGAGCATTATTTTCTTTTTTAAAAAAATCTATTAAAATTAATTTATTTATCGTGATACTAAGGACTGAACCCAATGCACTGAGCTATATCCCTAACTCTTTTCATTTTGAGACAGGGTCTCTCTTGCTCACTAAGGTACCCAGGTTGGGTTTTAAATTGCAATTCTCCTGCCTCAGCCTCCTAGAGTGCTAAGATTACAGATGTGTGACACCACAACCAGTCATACTCCCTTTATCTCTCCAATCGTCTCCATTTCCTTTCCCTCTGCCATTGCCTTCCCATTTCCTGTGTAGCTACAAATGACAGGATGCCAAGAATTAGGAGCACATTTTACCTCCTTCCCTAATGGAGGTGAGTCTGGTAAGCAATATAGACAGGGAAGGCTTCCTGGAGAAAATGAAATGAAGGTTGGAAGGAGCTAGTAAGAGTACACTATGCAAAGAGAACCAGAATGTGGGAAGGCCTCAAGGCAAGAAAACCTGGCAAGTCTGAGGAAAGAACAGCAGCTCACTATGGCTGAAGCACGGGATGGGAGTTCTGAGATAATGACAAAGGGTTATTCATGTTACATCACAAGGGACAACGTAAATTGCTGAGGAGACAGGAAAAAGGACTGGATCCCAAAGGCTGGGGAGCTGCCTCCTAACTGGTGTCCTGCTTCCAGTATTTCTTGTGATACTCCATTTTTTTTACACCAGTGTCAAAAATATCTTCCTAAAACGTAAATCTATCACAACTCCCTTACTCCTACATGGTCCTTCATGATCTAAAAAAACAGCCGTGCAAAGGAGAGTTAAGAGAGCAGACCTGCCACATATCCTAGAAAAGCCTGTTCACAAAGTGTTTCCTTGGCAGGCATCAGGGAACTTAGATTTGGAGAGGGTTCTCATCATTACCAGACAAGAGGATCTCCCATGCCATTTGTACAATGTGGTTTACAATGAGCAACTGCTTTTTTTTTGGACATCTAGAATGTCAGTGCACTCCAGGCAGGGGGTTCCTATTTGATCAATCCCCCAAATCAAAACTCTGTGCTTAAATTTCTCAAGAGTTTCCCTGGCTAGCAACATTTCATTCCAACTTGCTGGAGAATTAAGTACATCCTGTGCAACTCCACTGAGAGAAGAGTCTGAAAGCTTTCACCTTGTCTTTTTGGTGGTCTTGTTCTGTATCTTTTTGCCGTAATAAGACATGGATGGCTATGTATGACTATATGCCAAAATTGGTGAGTCCTCCTAGCAAACCGTAACTGCAGTAGTTTTAGGGATACGCATGCTCGCGCCGCGCGCGCACACACACACACACACACACACACACACACACACACACACACACTATCAGCTACTCTGGAGTGTTTATACGCAGGTTCTATGCTGAGCACCTGATATCCAGGACAATGAATCCTGGCGACAGATGCTACAATTACCCCCTTCCTACCACTAAGACAGCAAAATGCAGTAGCAGTGGTGACCGAGTCAGGACCAAAGCCCACACCCTGAACATGTAAAACATCATGTAGCACAGGACATCAAGGCCAAGCTTCAGAGCAGAACGACAGGCTTTGTAACCTGTGCATCCTGCTGATCGATCTCCTCTGACGCCAATCTTATTTAGCAGCCATATGCTCTAGCCATACTCAGTCCCATGTCCCTCCCTCAGCAAGTTCTCATCCTGCAGCTCTGCTCACTCTAACCTTTCTCTCTGGAATGCCCACAGTATAGATAGCGAACACCTAGCCCTCAGGAGATTGTTCCAGGCCTCCTCTGCATGCCAGTGGAGACTACCACGTGCCCACACTGTGTGTCCACTGCATTCTAGGTTACCACAGCCAAGTCTGCTAATCCCACAGCCCCTTTCCACCAGGAGCTATGTCTAGGATATCACATCAGCATCCCCACAGTGCCCAGTCCAAACCACATTTCTTGGTAATCAAAAAATTTCATAGGTAAATTGTGGGAAATTCATATAGCAGTCATTTAATAGTACTTCAGAACAAAGACGTGGGAAAATGTTCACAATAGGATATGAAAACTCAAGTAATAAAGCAATACACTCTCAAATGCATAGGAAACTTGTGATGGACAATGTGCCTGTATATCGGGAAAACAACTTATTCTCAATGTATACTTTTATACTGTGAATTTTATTACATGCAAATCTTCCTTTTCCAATTAAAACATAGTAATATGCAAAACACAATTCTGATTTTGCTTCAATAACTAAATGTAGATTAAAGACCAGAAAGAAAACCACAACAATGTCAACAGTGGATTATATATTATATAGTAATTTTTCTCATTTATGTTTTTACTTTTGCAATCAGAAAACAATGGTATTCAAATGGTCAGCTAAAAACAGTACCTGGAAAGAAGACTGGAAGGGCCGCATCTCCAGCAGCTCCTTCTCAATTCTGGCTTTCATCCCAGGATACATCACATTCCCACCAGTGAGGAAAATGTTCTGGACCAGCCTCTCCTGAATATCCTTTGAGTATCTAGGAGAAAAAAGATCCCCTGACTTAAATATTTAGAGAGACTATAGATAGCACAAAACAGAAAACATCTACTCGAAAAGTTAAAAAAAAAAAACCTATCACATTAAAAAAATTGTTTATGAATATACAATATGATGACATTCATCATTGTAAATTTGTGCTTTTACATAATATACCCTGGTTTTTATTTTTCCCCCATTCCCTTGCCCTCCCTCCAACCCCCCCATGCCTTCCTATTTACAGACTTTGTTTCCGTTTTTTCCTTATCTCATATTTATTCCTTTCCCTTCTTTTCTTTCTCCCATCCCTCCCACTTCCCCTTCCTTTTTGGGACTTATCATCCTATTGCACATTATCTATTATATATTTTGACCCTTATTTACACTTTCAGTTTCTCACACCAGAGAAACTATTTGGTATTTACACGTGTGTCCTATTTATTTCACTTAAAGAGTACGGCTTCAATGTGCATCCATTTAGCTATAAATGTCTCTAGTTTCTCATTCTTTATGGCTTAGTATACCATTTTAAAAAAAAAAAAAAAACAAAAAAAAAAAACCTGCATCTTCTTTATCCAGTCTCCAGTTGATGGGCAATTGGGCTGTTTCCAAGTTTCAGCCATTACAAACTGTACTGCTACAAACATGGGTGTATGTATATATATAAATTGTACCAATTGCTGTGGCATTAATTCTTTTGGGATCTCTAATCCTAGTTGTTTGAGGTATTTCCATACTGATTTTCATAATGGTTGCACCAGTCTGTGTTCCCACCAACAGTGGAGAGGGTTCCTTTCTCCCCACAACCATGCCAACGTTTGTTACTGGTTAATTTCTCGATAGCAGCCTTTCTTTCTGGAGTGAGGTGGAATCTCAGCACTGTTTTCATTTGCATCTCTCAAATGACCAGTGATGTTGAACATTTTTTCATGTTTATTTGCTGCTTCTACTTCATTGTCTAAGAAATGTCTGTTCATTTCAGAAGCCCATTTTTGGATTGGATCTTTAAATTTGGGAGGTTTGATTTTTTTTTAAGTTCTTTATATACCCTAACGTTTTCAATTTTTATTCAGATCTCTAGACGTCAAACTAGTGTTTACAATTATCTAGTCAAACCCTTAATTTGGTTAATACATTTTCTTAACATGATTAGAATGTCTATGCTCTCATAATACATCTTTCAAAAATCAACTGTATTGAATATTATAATTTACATGCATTATGATAAAGGCTGAAAAATGTATAACCCTCTGGAACCATCACTACAACCAAGATATAAACATTTCATCATTCCAAAAATTCTGCCTTCTCTTTGGGTTAAACATTCATATTTCTATCCTTTTTTGTTTTGTTTTTACAATGAGATCTTGCTCTGTTGCCCATACTGATCTCCAACTCTGGCCTCAAGTAATCTTGCCACCCCAGCACCTAAGTAGCTGGACCTACATGGATGAGCTACCACACCTGGTTTCTTTTTCATTCTTCTTTTTTTGGTACCAGGGATTGAACTCAGGACCTTGTGCCTGTGAGGCAGGCGGCGGAACCACTGAGCTAAATCCCCGGCCCTCAGTTTCTTTTTAATAGTATCTTTCTGTTATGCATGCTTAATCATTTTCCCACTCATTATTAAGAAAAAGCTCAAATCCACTCGTAGAAGTGACATATAGATTTTTTTCCCTGCTAGGTGGATTTTTCATTTCTATCCTATCCTAACCAAAAGCAGCCAGAGTACTGCAAATTATACTTCCTACCTATCCATTTGAATTATAGAAATGCACACTTAGAAACATGTTGGTGTAAATGGGTAGAGGAGGGCATTCTTATAAAAATGTAAACTCTTAGGGAAAAAAAAAAGATTTCATAAATACTGCAATATTTTGGCGGATTTAAAATCACTAGTACTTAATAATGTGAAGTTTTACCTAAAAGCCAGTACATGTTACTGTGTTGCTAAAACTTTTATTACACTCTGGAAGTCTGAGTACAGCAAAACAGTGAGAAGAGCAAGGCAGATTCCCCAAAGACCTGGCCACCAAATATTTTCAAGGTGAAATTCCAGGGAATGACTCAGCAAAATACAAGGGAAAGAAGCGTCGCCATCTCACCTGTTCAAAATGTAATGAAGAGTCTCTGCTATCCCCGCCTGCTCCTCTCCTATGAGAGATGGCTGGAAAATAATTTCTGGAGCTCGAATTCTTTCTGTCCCAATAAACAGCTGATGATATGCTGCCAAGTTAAACACGGGCTTTAAAAACCCAAGGTTTAAGAGAGATTTTTTAGATCATAATGACAACCATCCCAGAGGCCAGTTTTCTCAAAATGCATTTCTTAAGCCAGTGTAGTTTCTGTCCTTTTACTTATGCCTGAATAGCCTTTCCTCAACTCCTGGACTTGGAGATTCAGTTTTCTACCTTCAGCCAACCTCTGAACTATAAATCCCCACACAATGCACCATGTCATGGTCCCCAAATTTCAGGAAGGGACTTCACGAGGAGCTACACTCTAAAGGCCAGCAGGGAAGACCATGTCTCCACCCAGGGCCTGGTTTAGCCCTCCTGGTCTCTGCACATCAAGAACACTCGTCCCCTGAGAGCTTCAGGTCAAGGCACTACTGTAACTACAGGGATAGAGACCCCAGTGACAGTTAAGTACATTGGCTTCAAAGGAAATGAACCACTGAAATACCACTCTGCAGGTCTAAAGACTCCAACTGTTGATGAAAAGTTTGTTAGGTAAATGGTTTCTCCCAGATTCACAGACTGTGGTATAGGAGCCTCAATTAATCACAGAGAAAAACCCCTGACTCATGCTATAAGTACTGTCTCTAGAAACTGGAACTATACTGTTTCTAGAAACTAGAACTTAAAATATTTACTCCTAAAGAAGCAGACTGGACTAGTCACTTATATCCACAGCTTCATAGTATACACACAAACAGCAGCAGGAATCAAACCTGGACAGTGGTGATAGGCTTCTCTATTTCAGGTGCTTCCTCTGAAAACAAGGGTTCAAAATCATTCATGCTTTCCACGTCTTCCAGAGATGGCTCCAGATGCTCCAGGTCAGGGGTCTAAGGACGGAACAGAACAGAACAGAACAAACAGACTTGGACTTCCAGCAAGCTTTAGTTCTATAAATTCAATGTCATGAAAATGAACTGAGAGCCTGCCTAACACTTACATAAAAATTATGAACATCTTCTAAACTATTGAAAAAAAGAACACACATGACCAGCCTAAAACACCTTTCCTAATTATACAAGTCTCACCAACTTCTGGCTCCTCTGAAGCCTTCTGATGCCAACTCCAGGCTGGGCTCCATGGAAGACGAGCTATATACACCAGTGATACCATCACACACACGCGCGCGCGCGCGCGCACACAAAACTCGGGGACAGGGCATCCTACAGAAGAGCTAGACTACTACAAAATTAAATACATCTCTTAATGATTAATAAATATAGGTGCTAACACTACTGGTCTTAACAATTAGTCCTTTACCAGCAGGTCCCACTAGGCCAAAATCAAATCAGGCACAGGGCAGAGACTCCTGTTACCCACATAACCCATACTGCAGAAGTCAATGCTACAACTCTCAAGTGGGAATGCTGTGGTTCAGGCAGGTTAAGTAACGCACCCAAGGTCACATCACTTGGCAAGGGTCAGAAATGCTCAGCTCCAAAGTCTTTTCTCAGCCTTACATTGGAATCCTAAAAAACAGGAGTCTGAGCATGAGGAGACAATTGGGGCTTTAGGAACAGTAAAGATCTAGCCCAGGGCTGGGGATTTAGTTCAGTGGTTCTGCTCTCTGCTTCGCAAGTGCAAGGTCCCAAGTTTGAGTCCCAGCACCAAAAAAAAAATCCATCCCAAAGTCAGAGAGGTAAAACAAGAGATGAGCTAGAGTTTTTACCTGCAATACCAAGGGCAGCTGACATCAGTGACAGGTTTCTCTGCCCAAGCAGGGAAAGTCAGAGCATAAGAGTACATTCCACTTGCACCCCACAGCTTTTGATTTGGAAGACACTCAGCAATCATCACAAGAAAGGAACCCTGACCCTGGGAGTACCCGAGGATTCTGGCTTGGCACTAAGCCAAGCACTTCAGAAATGACCCCCAGGGGTTCCCAAGAGAGGACTAGCGTGTATCACACCAAACCTCCCCTTCTTCAAGAACAACGCAGGAGGCAGGGTGGTATAACAGGGCAGTCAGGCTTTGGATACAGTTGATGCAGCTTTGAATGTCAGTCACAAACACACAGGTCATTGTGGCACAGCTGGAAAGATGCACTCTGTCTCCCTATTTTATTTTATTTTTTATTTTTTGGTCTTTTGAGACAGAGTCTCACCATGTAGTTGACACTGCCCTGGAACTCACTATGTAGCCCAGGCTGGTCTCAAACTCACAGCAATCCTGCCTCAGCCTCCTGAGTGGTGGGATTACAGGCGTGCGCCATCACTCCTGGCTGTTTCCCTATTTTCAAGCAGGACATGGACTTGTGGTAATGTCAACCCTGGGGCAGCATCAAGTGAGCACTGAACACTTTCCTTCCTCTCAAACACATAAGTCATTTGGTCCCGTCAATAATTCAGCTGTATTACTAGGTTGGAGACAAACAAATGGTGTCTGTGAATTTAAAATAACTACAGACAAAACCTGTGACCTCTAAACAGTAATGAGCAAAGCACTGAGTCTCTTCCTACGTACACCACTCTGCTCTCCTTACTCCATGAAGGAGACACTTCCTAGAAAGTGAGACTTTGTTTCCTTCCCTTTAGTCTCAGCAGGAGCTCAGGATGTGTCCAATCAATGAGTATCAGGTGCATGTTGCTAAGTGACTCCCAAGGACAGTCATCAAAGGACATGCAGCCTTCTTCCATCAGTATCAAAAATCAACCTGTGTCCCCACACATCTACCACATTTATGATATGCTCTATTATAGTCAGCAAAGTATGGTTCCATGCACCCCCTCCCATTTTCTGAGGTACCCAGAAGGGCGGGAACTGTATCTTAATCACCTCTGCATCTCAAGCATCTGGCCAAGACACTGTACCTGGTACTAAGTGGTGGGTCCCTGAAATCTACCTTCAAATACCTCCAGAATACAGAAGATTATAAAACTTTGGATTCTATAAGACTTCTTCACCTACAATGAAAAGCTTATCATTCACCTCTGTCTAGCTACAATTTCTCAGCTTCACTAGAAGCTGTCAAAAAAATATTTACTTATCTAAGTCATATGATTTAAAGAGGCTGCCATGGCTGGCTGTCCTCCCTGAGGACTTGCCAGCGAATCCACACGTGCTGTGTGGTGTTCAGGAACACTAATATGACTGTTCTTTTCAAACTAAACAGGGTGCATTTGCCAAAGCACAACAGAGAACTTTCTGCATTTGGCCCACTGTATTTTCCAACAAATGATAATGCTCTAAAACTGTGTCTTCCCCTTCTGCCCTCCCATGCTGTGCTTACAGCTATGAAAAGCAAGCAAGTACCCTCTAGTTTGAATACTTCATTAAGAATGCTAACAAAGCCTGCTCCTTTACAACACCTCACAGGAATAATTTCAGTTAGCAAGGACCAAAACAGATCAGTCTCCAGAAAAAACTGTGTTAGGAAACAGTACAACTTCCCAGCTATATTAATATTAATCCCATCCAGCCTACTGCTTAAGTGGAATTTCAATATGAACTTAGGTCTACAGACTGTATGTTCATTCACTTCATTCGAAATGAATTACGTTTGGAAAATACTACAAACACTTTTTGAAAGGTAGATCTGGCTAGCCAATGTCATGGTCAAATTCATTCCACGAGTGTGACTGTAACGGACTCTGATCACTAATAATCACCCTCAATAAATGCTATCTCATCATTAAAATTTCAAAGATGATAGAACAGTTAAGTCAAATCTGTATATAGAGAAAACCCTTGGAGAGCAAAATTTCAAAATCTTCCCAAGGCCACAGAGACCAGCTATGTATTGCCAGAGCACAGAACAAAATGGGTACTAGGAAGTACCTGTGAATAGAGAAGTAACTGAATCACACCACGTAATAAATGCAGAGAAATAAACAAAGAAAAAGAAAACATAAAGCCGGGAGTAATGGCTCACACCTGAAATCCCAGCACTCGGCAGAGGCAGGAGGATTGTTAAATAAATAAATAAATAAATAAATAAATAAATAAATAAATAAATAAATAAATAAAAACAAAAAAAAGAAAAGATAGTCCCCCAATTACTCAGGAATCATACTTTCAGCATATATTTCCTTTTTGAATCTGATTATCTCTTACCAGTTTGTGGCTTCAGGTTACCGACCCCCCAGCCAGGAGCCCATGCTACAAATGTGAGCTTCATGTTGAGCCAAAGAAAATAGTGACATCACTGATAAGGACACTACACCCAGCATCAAAAGACACCAACTTGGCTTTTGTGTGTGTGTGCGTGTGTGGTACTGGGGATCGATCTCAGGACCTTGTGCTCATAAGGCAGGCACAGTGTCACTGAGCCTAAGGAGGACTGCCAAAAGTTCGAGACCAGCCTGGGCTACACAATGAGTTCGAGGCCAGCCACAACTACATATTTAGACCCTGTCTCAAAATGCATAAATAAATAAACCAAACAAACAATCAAGAGTTTAAAGAAAGTTCATTTAAAAACAAAAAAAGCTAATTTGGTTAATTCTGTCTCAAACATGTCACATGGCAATGATCAAGTTCCTTTGTTTTGAAGCTCTAAGATAACCAATCCAGTTCCAGATCTAAAGATAGGAGACCCTGCCAGTGACTTCTGCACTGAGTAACCTATAGGCTACCCCTTCACCAGATGGGCCCTGAGGTGTCAAGATCTAAGTTTCCCAAGGCCTGAGCTCAGCTCTGCCACCTGCACTTTTGGCCGTATCAACAGTGAACAGTACACTGCCAGAGAACAGAAAGAAGAAAAAGAGAAAACCAAAAAGCATATTCAGCGTTAGTCTTTAGTATCCAACAAAAAGCTGTTCTGAGGTCAACCTACAAACACTATACTAAGCACATCTATTAATTGCTTTACATGGTTCATAAACTACGTATGGAGCATAAACTCTGTCCTTATGGAATATCAAGACATAAAAGAAGTAAGTAAATGACAAACCACACTATTTTAAAAACATGAGTTAAAGGAAGACCATGACTGTCAAATGACAAACAGGGGAGCAGGTTCAGTTCAAAACAGCACACATGATTGGCATCAATGTTCTCCCTCATCTACATGCACACATTCCGCACCAGGGGTGAGATCCTTCTAGTCAGAACACCATTACAAGGCCGTTGCTATTGTTCTTGCCCATGCTCCCAGTATTATCTATCGCTCATTACACTGTTCGTCTCTTCCTTCCAGGCTTGGCCACAACCCCTTCAATGTCAGCCTTCTGGAGATATTCTTCCCACTCAGAAGGGCAAGTCTCCCTCCCAAGGCCCTCACAGTCACCTCTGGCTTGCTGTCCACCACATCCACCTCGAGGCTGACTTCTGCTTGGAGGATCTTCTGCTTCGCCTGCTCCACTGCCAAACTGAGCTTTTGTATGTAGGACTGTAGCTCTTCTGGGGAGTCCATGTTCAGCTCTATCAGAGCTTTGTGAAACTGATCCATCTGGCCATCCTCTAGGAGTTCCTGAAATCGGAATAGTCACAAGATAGTGCAAGCATAAGCAAGGGGGAAAGAGAAGTCAAGAAGAAACGCAGCAGGAGGGGCTGCCAGGGCTCCTTTAGCCTGCCCACCAAACAATCAGGCCTCCAGCTCCCGCAATAGTTCATACAGCTGCCCTCCTCTCCAGCTGGCTTTAGACTAACACTGTAAAACTCATCTATGATGACAGACATCAGAAACGTCGTTACCTTCAGGGGAGTAACTATGGACTTAGACAAGTAAACCTGGTGATGCTGTTTCTCTGACAGCAGATACAGGGGTGCAAAAATTCATAGAGATGCACACTTAATATTTGAGTGCTTTGCATCATGCATTCTACACTTAAATCAGAAAGCCAAAAAAGTAAAGGTAATTATATGGCAAACACAAATCAATAAAGCTGGAGTCCATACTATTTCAGAACCACTTTGTTGAGCAAGGCCAGGGACCCATCCCAGCATTTGCTATCACCTGCACATAGAGCAATCGGTCCAGCCGCTCCTGATCCAGCTGAAGCTTCTCCTCCCGCCGCCGGGCATTGAGTTCCTGCAGCCGCCGCAGTTGCTGCTGCCGCCTCTCTTGCTTCTCCTCAGATGTCAAAGTGCTGCTCAGGAGCTTGCTGGAAAATGGGAGCTGCATCTTGTGCACATTGTTCTCATAATAATCTGGGCACTGCCACTTATGCAATTCTTGAAAGAACAATTTGGAAGTTATGAAATGGAAACACTATCAACACAAAAATCAAAGTCAATACCAAAAGCCAGGCGTGGTGGCGCATGCCTGTAATCCCAGCACTCAGAAGGCTGAGGCAGGAGGATCGCTGTGAGTTTGAGACCAGCCTGGGCTACACAGTGAGTTCCAGGTCAGTCTCAACTACATAGTGAGACCCTCTCTCAAAAAAACCCAAAAAACAAAACAAAACAAAACAAAACAAACAAAAATAACAAATCAAAACCAGTCTAGCATGCAGAAGGTCCTGGGTTTGATTCCCAGCACAGCAAAAAAAAAAAAAAAAAAAAAAAAAAAAAGAAGGAGTCAGTAGACAGTCCCATGATTCTAGATATAAGAAAGATGGAAAACACACTCTTGCCAAGTCTGAATCCATTCAGTCAACTAATGTAGCCATAAAAACTGGACATCATGCCAACAAACAATTCTTTAAATGGTAGTCCTACTGGAAAGAAGCCTGGAACATCAAGACTAAAATGAAAATGATTAAAATATGGTAAAAGACAACAGAATAATCTCATTGTGAGTTCTTTAAAATATGTTTGATGACTGAAACTAAAAATTCTATCACTGCACTCCGGCAGACTGAGGCAGGAGGATCACAAGTTCAAGTCCAGCTAGGGCAACTTGGTGACTTAGTCCCTTAAAAAGGGCTGGGAATGTAGTTCAGTGCAAAAGCCTTGTGTTCAATCCCCAGGTACCATAAAATAAATAAATAAATTTAATTTAAAGAAAGAAAATGAGAAAGAAACCTATCACTGATGGCTTCCAATGTATGAGATATAACACAGAATTCCAACATATACATAGGAAAGGATGAAGGATCCTAGTGCTAATAGTCCTACATTTTGCTGGAAGTAGTAAATACTGATTCTAGGTAGACTGAAAAGTTTTATTTACTGTAATCTCCAGAGTATTTAACAAAGAGTAAAAATACAGATAAGAGTAAAAAACAGAACATAAAAATTAGAATGGAATAATAAAAAATAAAGCCCAAATAACCTAAAAAGTAGGAGAGATATAAGGGAACAATAAACTCAGGGAATAACAAAACCAAATAATAAAATGGTGGACCTAAATCTAAATGTGAGTAAATTAATTCTAAATGGTCTATAATATACCAGGTAAGAATGATATAAAAGACTTTTAAAGAGCAACCTAACTACTATAAGAAACTCATTTTGAATACTGTAATATTGGTAGATAAAAGGTACAGGATATAAAGATGTGTCATACAAACCCTAATCAAAAGAAAGCCAGAGGGGCTATATTAATGCTTGAATAGACTTCAAACTAAAGAAAATTGCCAGGGTAAAGAAGAACATCACATAATGATAAAAGGTCAACATGGCAATAAAATATAAGAATGCTAAACATGCACCTGATAAGAATCAGTTACCTGAAAGCATAAACTGACAGAATTGGGCTGGGATGTGAGTCAGTGGCAGAGCTCTTACCTACTACATGAAAGGCAGTGGGTTCAATCCCCAGCATAAGAATAAAAACAAAATGCCCCAAGAAAACACACAAAAACAACAAACTCATCAAACTGTAATGAAAATAGGGACATCTAAAATTCCACCTAACAAGTCAATACACTTTCCTCGGTATCAGCAGAGCCAGTAGAAGGGAAGTGAACATGGATACAGAAGAGCTGAACACCACTATCACCCAACAGGGTCCAAGTGACACAAAAGAACACAACACTCAGCAGGAGCACGATACATGTTCTTTCAGGTATATGAGAAACTTTTGCCAAGGTGACTATGTCCTGGGTCATAAAACAAAGAAATGGTATCAGACAAAGAAGTCTTCTGACTATAAAGGAGTTAACTAGAAATGAATCATACAGCCAGGGATTTAGCTCCGTGGTTCCACCACCTGCCTTGCAAGCACAAGGACCTGAGTTTGATCCCTGGTACTGAAAAAAAAAGAAATGAATCATAGAAAATTAACAGGAAAATCCCCAAATATTTGTACACAAAGAAATACTTTTCTAAATAATCAATTGCTTAGTGAATGGTTTTGAGGGAATTAGAAAATATTTAAATTAAATAAAAATATATCAAAATTGTAGGGTGCAGATAAAGTGATACTGATAGGGAAATTCACAGAATTAAACTGTTCTAAAGAATGAAATAATAATTTAAGCTTCTATTTCGGAAACAAGCAAAAAAAATGCAAGTAGAATAATAAAGAGAAGACATTAAGTAGGTTGCCTGGATAATCTGTCTATTCAAGAAATTAAATTTATAGTTAAACACCTTCAAAAAAAGAAATGTCTAGGCTAGGCTCAAATAATACCACTGGAAAATTCTATCAAACATTTGAACAAAAAGTAACTTCAATTACACAATCTTTTCAGAAAGTAAGAGGGCATTTTTCAACTCATTTAATGAGACCATCATCACCCTGATGATACTAGTATAAGAAAACCATACAGGAATGTCCCTCATTAACACAGACAGAACAACCCATGAAATAGTATCAAGTCAAAGCTAGCAATATATAGAGTAATATGTATGAACAAGCTGGCTTATCCAAAACAAAACAAAAACAAGGCTGATTGCATATTTAGAAAGCAATCATTACATACCCCATATGAACAGTCTAAAGCAGAAACAATTCAACAGCCTTTAATCTTACTGTTAAATACACAATTAGTATATGACCCAGGAGCGCATTTATGGTAGAAAAATGAAAACTCACATTCCCCAATAAATCTGTACATAAATATTTACAGTAGCTTTATCCATAACCACCAAAAACTGGAAACAAATTAAATGACTCTACATGGGTGGATGGATAAACTTGTTATGATACCTTCATACAACAGAACACAATTTCAAAATAAAAAGGAACGAACTATTGAAATGTTCAATGCTCTGGATGAAACTCAAAGGCATACTTGTGAGGTTAAGACAGTTTTAAAAGGTTCTATTTGACTCAATTTATATGACATTTTGGAAAAGAGGAAACCATAGCGACAGAGAACAAGTGAGTGGTTGCCTGGGTTTGGGATGGGGGCAGTGTATGACTACAAAGAGAAAGCATGACGTTTTTTGGAATGATGGAGCTGTTCTGTATCCTGATTGTGACAGTGGTTATGTGGATCTATACACAGAACTATACCCCACAAGACAAGCCAGTGTCAGGGCACCTTAAGAATAGAGAAGCAGGAGCAGAGAGCTGTGGATTTCTTCTGTTATCTGGCAAGCACCTAACTCTCTGGCCTGAGGTTTCTCACAAATTATCCACCCATTCATTCATTCATTCATTCACTGTGCTAGGAACTGAACTCAAGGTCTTTCACATGCTAGGGAAGCCAAAAGACAGTACAACAAAACCACACAGCACTGAGCTACACCCTCAGCCCTACAAATTTTCTTTCCATGCCTAATTTCTTTGTACTCCAGGAATAACAGGTATTTAATAAATGCCTCCTGAAGACACGGTTCTTAACCACTACTCAACTATATACTTAAAGATGCTTAGGATGGTAGATAGCAGATTTTGTTCTGAGGTTTGGGGTTTTCACAATTATTATTGTTGTTGTTTGGGGGTTTTTTGTTGTTGGTTTTTTGTTTTTTTTTTTTGATATGATGGTTAGAACTCAGGACTTTGTGCTTGCAAAGCAGGTGGTGGCACCACTGAGCTAAATACCCGGCCTAAATCCTCAGCCCTATTATTTATTTTTAAAGACACCACTTTTGGCCTTCTGGAGCTCAGCTGAAGTCACCATCTTCAAGCCAACAAGAAAATCCACCTACATACTGTAGGACACAGTTGTATTTACAATGATATTGTTCATAGTCCTTTGGTTTTACCTGAATTATTTAAATTTAAGAGGAATATATTACTTTCATCACATTTGTGTTATTAAGACAACAGTAGTTCAAAGTGTTGTCAATGTAGCTGGGCATGGTGGCACATGCGTATAATCCCAGGACTCTTGAAGAGACTGAGGCAGGAGGATCTCAAGTTCAAGTTCAGCCTGGGTAACTTAAAGAGACTTAGAAAAACTCCAGTTTCAAAGTAAAAAGTAAAAAAAAGGCTTAGAGATGTATCTTAATGCAAAGGCTCTGGGTTCACTCTTCAATAACCCCCATCCCCACAACCCAAAGTATTACCAATGTAAAATACAATCAAAACTTAAGATGAGTGGAAAAGAGAAACATACGCTTCTGGGGCATAGGTTCTATTCTAAGGATGTAATGAAACAATTTAAACTGCTTTTAATCTAACAAGTTCTGTTCCCTCCTTAAAATGTTTAACTTCTGGAGAAAGTTCAAAGTTGTGCAATTCCAAGGCCTGGATAAAAAAATACCATTTGTGAAGGGAACCTATTTATGTAAGGTCCTATAGTTTAAGAAAGTGATTGAATAGCAAAAGGGAGACGGGGCACTAAAAAATAAGTATACAAAGTGAGAATGCAAGAGTCACACAGGTACTAAGTTAAGGAACACCCCATACACCAAAGGCTGATACCATCTAAAAGCTGTAGAAAATCACCCCGATTACCTTCCCCATAGTCCTCAGCAATGTAGCTGTGCTCATGCAGGATCTCCTCCATGCGGCTGAGCGTGATGGCTGCCAGATGGCCAGGATACTTCAGCTGGAGGAGTCGCTGGAGATAGCCAGCTGCCTGGCTTCCTCCAAGATTGATACGCTTGCAATTTTTGGCATCTAGCCTACAACCAAGCAGTAGAAAGCAACACTGAAATTTTTGACAACACGGAGGACAAAATATGAAACATCTTGGGGAAAATAAGGAGAATTTAATGCAGACAAACAAACAGACCAGCAGGAGGAACATAAAACCCTACAGCTGCAACACACTCAAGTTCCCTTGGTGCAGCCTCACCCGAAGTGGGAATTATCAGTCCTCACTTAAGACACATAGCCATCTGACTTCCGGCCAGTCTCAGAAGACAATGAGGCTTTACAAAGGAACACACATTCCAACTCCCATTATAGGTCTCAAAAAATTCAACAGCATTTATTTTGACTTAAAGAGGCAGACTGCTTTATAGTTTACAAACTTCCACCACCTACTTCATGTGATTCACTACATATTTCTCAAATTGTGGTCCTGGGATCAAGTATTGTAGAATAAACTGGAGGAAAATGTTAAGGTCAATTCCCATGGCACATTTGCTCTGGGGTGGGCCTCGAAGCCTTCATTTTACTAAGTTTCCCAAGCAACTCCGAGGCAGGTCAGAGTTTGAGAACTCCCTGTCTTATACAAACCACTTCTATTGATGAAATCAAATTAAGTAACTGCACACATCTTGGTTTACTGTAATCTCTTAAGGCCAGATTCCTTTCCCACAAACCAAAGGAGAAGAGAATCTGAGTAACTTTATGTTCTTTTTTTTGAGACAGGGTCTCACTGTGTAGTTGAGACTGACCTAGAACTCACTATGTAGGCCAGGCTGGTCTTGAACTCACAGCGATCCTCCTGCCTCAGCCTCCCGAGTGCTGGGATTACAGGCATGCCCTAACTTTATGTTCTTAAGGTGAGAAAGCAAGAGTAACAGAGTTCTAGGAACCTGCTGCATAATAAAATGTTGCTATGTCACACATTACCAGGAGATGCCAGCACAGGATAAGACATGCTCCAATCTGATTATCCTTTGGTCTTCAGGTAAAATGATTTTCTCTCAATATAAATAAAAATAACACATTACTCTTAATTTTTACATATTCTGCTTAAATATAGACTTCAAGACTTTAGGAATGTTTGGTAATACCTAAGAATTACTTTTATCTTCGCAGATTTTCATGGGACTATTAAGAGAAAGCCCCATTATTGGTCTCAATAAATTCAATGGCATTTATTTTGACTTTAATATGCAGGGTACTTTACAGTTTACAAACTGTCCTCATCTACATTACCTCATTTCATTCTCGAGGTAATCTGAGAAGCCAGGTTTTTCCCAAATTTACATGTTAGGAAACTAAGGAAAAAGGTTAAGAACTGTTATGGCTTATATCAAGATGTCCCCCCAAAGTTTCAAGCAGTCATAGATGGGCTTTATGGAGGTGGCTAGATCTAGAGTGTGTAATGCTGGGATCAAGGATGTGATGCTGGGATTAAGGGTGTAAGTGCTATGGATAAAATCTAAGAGATAGAAGGAGGGCTGGTGTGGTCATTGTTGTTGGTCACTGTTGTTGGTCACAAGCTTCCTGCTTGCTGCATTCTGCCTGCCTTGCTTTCCTATGGACTGACACCCTGCTCTGGAGCCAGCCAACTATGAACTAAAACCTCTAAAACCGTGAACTAAAACCTCTACAAACCATAAGCTAAATAAATCATTCCTTAACTTGTGGGTGTTGGGTATTTTGTCTCAGCAATGAGAAAAAGTAAGACAAGGACCTCATCTTTAACAGGGCTGCAAACTCCAAATTCAGGTCTCAAACACTAAAGCCACAGTTTTTTATGTAGCATAAGAAAACAGGATGGCATAGGCTGGCCTAGTCTTTTTTATTTTTTTCCTTCCTTTTTTTTCTCTTTTTGTAATGCTGGAGATTTAACCCAGGGTCTTTGCACTGAGCTACATCCCCAGCCCTTTTAAAATTTTAAAAAACTTTGAGACAGAGTCCCACTAAGTTGTGAAGTTGCCCAGTTTGGGCTTGAACTTGCAATTCTTCTGCCTCAGCCTCCCAGAAGGCCAGGATAATAGGTGTGCACTTGGATTTACCTAGCCCTTTATCAGACAATAAAAGAAAGTCAAACCATAAGGTAGGAAGACTTATGTCTTATACCTTTGCCTCTTAAGTCAACTCAGAAATTTTTAGTAAGTGCCTATTATGTGTAAGGCACTATAACTGAAAAGAAAGGTATGAAACTGATGTGTACAGGGATTTACATTTAAATAAGTGACTCCAGAAGATGGTCTAAATTAAAGTTATTCAAGAAATTTATTCAAAATATTTTCCCCAGTGCTGGGGATCACACTCAAGCCCTCATGCACACTAAGCAAATGCTCCACACATTCCTAGTCCTTTTCAAAACATTTTTATTCAGTGACTGCTACCTGCAGGTACTAGCTTTCTCCCCACAAATCAGAAGTACAAAATCCTAGAACTATGGATTTAGACCTAAGACATCACCTATGTCAACTCCCTCCAGGTCACCAAGGTCAAATGAAGGGATATACTTACATTCATACAGTGATGTAGGTTAGAGCTAAGCCCAGCTCTGTTTGTAATCTAGTATTTGCTCTTTCCATTCCACCTAAATAGTAGGCACTTAATGTTTCCTCAATATGTCTCAAAATAGCACACAAATGTCACAAGTACAACTCACCTTCCTTCTAAGATGGGCAAAATATGCGTACACTGGTATCCAGATGAAATGATAACCCCACTGGAAATCGAGTTCTTAGGCTTATTGTGGTAGAAGCTGAAGAGGCTGTCTATTCCATAGGCAACCTTTGGAATTCCATAACACTCAAAAAGAAGCTCAGACATCATTTGGCGCGAATATAGTGGATTACACACAGCTTCTGTCAAAACTATGGGATGATCAACGTAGCCCTACTTTGAAAGAAAAGGGCAAATAGATGAGTGATAGAAGATATTCTTTTTAAAACATAAAAGAACCTCAAATCCTTATAACAGGGCAATTTGTTTTTGGTCTCTAAAAACCCTGTAAGGAGCAATTATAAAACATTCATCTCAATCTCTATTCGAGGTTGTTTTGGAAAATATGAAAGTAGGATCAAATTTAAGGTTATTAAGCCAAGTTATCCAGACTTTGAGGAACGCACATTGGCTCTATCTTCAAAATATGGGCAGAATTCAAATGATATTTACCACATCCCCTGCTACTTTTTACCTAAGTCACTATCACCCCTCACCTGGATTATTGCAACAGGCTCCCAACTGGTCTCCGTTTCCATGACAGACCATTCTCCACACCGCATGATGATTTTCAGATATAAATCATAAACTTCCTCTGGTCAATGCTTTGCATCTGCTCCCCATTTCACTCAAGAGGAAAAGCTTACAAGGTGTGCAGTCTGTTCTCTGATTACCTTTCTAACATCCTCTTTAAGGCAGTACCTATTTCAGATACTTTCCCTCACTCTTGCTGCACTACAACTAGGATTTTTCCACACTTCTGACTCAGTGCCTTTTCGGTGTCCGTTCCCTCTAAAATATTTTCCCTTGAGATATTAAAAGAGGTTATGCCCTCAATTACCTACTTAGTCTCTGTTCAAACGTCTGGCCACCTCCCCACCACCACCCGAGTCGTACCAGACCACCATATTGAAAAAAATATTAACTGCCTCCTCTCTTATCTGGCTTTCCATACTGGAGCACTTTTCCACACTAACTCCATAAACACAGGGTGTTCACAGATGTATTCCAAATGCCTAAAAATGCGCCCGACAGCGAGGCTGCTCAATACATATTTATTAATAAATGAATCAATAAACGACCATATATGACCTATGCTCCAAGAGAAAAGCATTACTTGGTTAATGCTGTACCTCTACCTGCTAGTATTGGGCATACGCACCTCAGGCGCTTAAATGGTGATGACTGACTAAAAATTAAAGCTGCAGTGACATCTCTCAAAGCGACTGAATAGAGACGAGACCTCAACCCTCCCCCCACCCCAGCCCACCCCACCTTCACCTGTGAGGAGACACCCAGGTGCTGGAAACTGTAGTCCAGCAGCAGCTCCTGCAGCTCCAGGTTGACCGGCACGTTGCGGTCGAAGGGCGAGCGCAGCATCCAGCGCAAAGGCTCCAGGCTGCC